CCCGGGTGCCGGCTTCCGCGGGCGCCACCGCTGCGCCTCGGCCAGGTTGCTCAGGGGCCGTCCTCGCGCCGCCGGAGCCTCCCCGGGAGAGAGCGATGGAGACTGGGAGGCCGCTGGCGGCCCGGCAACCCCTCCCAGGGGTGGGGACAGGAGAACCCGTGGGCTCTGTCAGGAGCCACCGCGGCGAGCGCCCGGCCGCGGCTCGAGAAGCGACCCCGCGGCGGCGCTCCAGCCCCGAGCCGAGACCGCGCCGAGCTGGGGGCCGGGGGCGCGGCAAGGAGGGTCTCCTGGCTTCCTCCTGCCCACAGGAGCCGGTCAGTGCGAGCGGGGAGCCGGGGGTTGGGCAGGCGCGCGTCTCAGGGCCGCGGGCAGCCGGCGACAGACACTTGTTTGCAAAGGCTCAGTCCGGCGCGCGCGCGGCTCCTGCAATGCCGCTCCGCCCGCCCGCCGGCTCCTCCTCTTTCTCCTCCTCTCGCCCGCGACCCCCTGGTGCCCGGCGCCCCGGCCCGGGCCCACCGCAGTTCCCACGCGCTCCCCCTCCGCGCGGCCCCGGGAGGGCATCGCCCAGGGAGAGGTTGGGTCAGGCGACCGCCTGCAGGGCCATGGCCACCACCTCCGCAACCTCCGAGGCGTGCGCTAGGCTGACTGCTGTCGCCTGCCAGACTCTCCAGCCGGTTTATCACCAGCAGCAGCTGCCGCTCCGGGTCGCGCAGCCACACGGCGTCCCGCACACCCGTCTGCTGAATCCCTGGACGAGAGGAATACACGGGTGGAGCGGCGACCCTCCCTGCCTGCCAGCCGGGCACGGGGCCGAGTTGCGGGGCTCTGTGGACGCAGGGCACGGGCAGGGGCTGCCCGGGAACGGGACGGAGGACGGCGCGAGGCGGCCCTGGCTCGGGGACGGGGGCTGAGTTGCGGGGCTCTGTGGACGCAGGGCGCGGGCGGAGGCTGACAGGGAACGGAACGGAGGACGAGGCGGGCCTGGCTTGGGGAGGGGGGCTGGAGCCGAGTTCTGGCGACCTGGCTGGGCTCCAGGCCCCGGGAGCAGCGGGGAGAGGTAGGAAGAGTGCGAGGGTCCAGGTCCCTCGGGCCGCCGCCCTGCCTCCCTCCTGGGCACGAGCTCGAGGCGGCAGCCTGTTTGGGGGCCCCTCCCGGCCTTTCTTTCTCCACTTCTCCCGCGCGAGCGCTGACAATCGGCTCGCTTTATTTCGCTCTCCTTTTCCTCGTGGAGCCTCCACGGCAGTCAAAGAGAACACTCTGCTTTTCTACTGCCCCGGTCCTTCCCTGCCTGACAGCCGCGGCGGATGGCCGAGCTGAAGCTCCTGCGCGCCGGTGCGCTCACCCCACGACGCGCACGGGTCCGAGCCCCCGACCCGCGGAAGCGGGTGGGCAGCGGAAGGTCTGGGAGCAGGGGCGGGGGCGCTTGGTTTTCCGAGTCCCGCTTTCCATTCACGCCTCACTGGGATGTGTAGTTCTCCGCTAGCGGTCCAGCTCCGAGAGGAAACGCTATTTGTAGACCACAAAACTACAAATCCCTGCATCCCCCGCGACGAGGGCGGGAGAGGGACGGAGCTGGGCTCTCCGCGCGCGGTGGTTGGAGATGGGAACTAACAAAGGGGATGGTGGGGAGCGGCCGTTCCTTCTATGTGGTGGGCTTGTTACACGTTACACATGTTCTTTGTTAATTTCTACAACCCTGCGAGCCACTATTGTATCCAATTTAGAGGAAGCTTAACTACTTGCCAGAGATCACAAAACTCCCCCGTGGCAGAGATGGGATTGAGCCCAGAGCCCAGAGTACGAAGCACTGCCTCGGTGAGCTGTGTCAAAGGGAAATAAAATCGGTTTATCGAGAGAGAAAAAGAAATGAGGCCGGTTAGATTATGCCATGAAATTATAAGCAGCTGTGAATGAATAGGTCCCTGGGTGGTGCAAATGGTCTGTGCTCGACTCTTAACCCCAGGTTTGCCCTGGACTGCTAACCTACCGCTTGGGATTTGAACCCACCCAGCGTTGCCTCCAAAGAAGGGCCTGGAGATCTGCTTCCATAAAGATTTTTTTTTTTAAGTTGCCTTCTGTAAATTCTGACTCGTGGCGACCCCATGTGGTTCAAAGTAGAACTGCATTCCACAAAGTTTTCTTGGCTGTAATCTTACTGAAGCAGATCGCCAGGCTTTTCTTCCACAGAGCTGCTGAGTGGATTCCAACCACCTACTTTCTGGTTAGTAGCCGACTTTCAGATTAGTAGCTGAGGCCCTTCAGTAAAGATTGTTGTTGCTGTTAGGTGCCTTGGAGTCGATTTCGACTCATAATGACCCCACTGACATGATAGAATTGCCCATAAGGTTTTCTAGGCTATAATACTTACGGAAGCAGATCTCCAGGTCTTTCTCCTGCAGAGTTGCTGGGTGGGTTCTATGGGCCAACCTTTCAATTAGCAGCCCAGCACTTAACCATTGGGCCATCAGGGCTCCTTGCCAAGAAAACACTATGGAGCAGTTCCGCTCTGTAACACATGTGGTTGCCATGAGTCAGAATCAACAGCTACTTTTTTTTGTTTTTTGTTGTTATTTTTGGTTAATAAATATGGAATTTACAAGCATTCATTCCAAAGCAGGTTAGAGTCACAGGAGAATGGGTAGGATCTTAAATGCATAATCAGAATTGGGTCCAAATGATTTTAGATATTGCATGACAGAAGAGCATATTATAAGGATAATTAAGTACTTTGTCCACCACCCATCTGCCAGTTTGTGGTACTGTAGTGGCTTACAGGCTGCTGTAATGCCGGAAGCTATGCCACCAGTATTTCAAATACCAACAGGGTAACCCACGGTAGACAGGTTTCAGTGAAATTTCCAGACTAAGACTAGGAAGAAAGGCCTGGTAATCTACTTCCGAAAATTAGCCAGTGAAAACTTAATGGATCACAACAGAACATTTCCCAACTCATTGTTTTGGACAAGTTATCAGAAAGGATCAATCACTAGTGGAGGACATTGCGTTTGGTGAAGCAGAAGGCCAGCGGAAACCCTTGGTGAGATGGATTGGCACAGTAGCCAAAAGGATGGACTCAAACATGCTGGCCATTGTGAGATGATGCAAGATGGAGCGACGTTTTGATCTGTTGTACGTAAGGTCACCATGAGCTGAAGTCAACTCTATAGCAACTATCTACCTACCTAAGTACTTTGTGGCTGCACTATTTTTAAAAACCGACTGGCAAGCCTCAAACATTTCAAGTGAAAGATCTCATATGTTTTCCTTGCCCTTCTTTAGCCAATGGGATCAACAGAGTATTATTCTATTTATTGCAAGCCCCTTTCCTCTGGTCATCCAAGGTGCAATACTAGATCCATTGACTTAATGGCTTTAAAAAAAACTCCTACTGCTGTTCCCAATTAAAACCAAACATTTCTGGCAAAATTTTATGGCACTGCAGCTATGTTTTTAAAAAATATTTGCAAGAGCAATGATATAAAATCTGGAATGTGCCTTAAAACACTCCAGCCCAACCATTCCCAAAAAACACAAGGGTATAGATGAAACAATACAGACAAACTGTTGAAACTTGTTGAAGTTGAGCAATGTATCTGTATTGGTTATCTATTACTGCAAATTACCACAAATGTAGCAGCTTAAAACAACACAAATTTATCATCTCACAGTTTCTGTGGGTCAGCTGTCCAGTCACACTAGTTCCTATGCTTAGGGTCTCACACCTGCCATCAAGCTGTTGACCAGGCTAAGTTCTCATCTGGAGGCTCAACTGAGGAAGAATCGGCTTCCACGCTGTATCCAATCATTGGCAGAATTCACTTCCTTGCAGCTGCAGGACTGGCGGCCCTGACTTCTTGCTGGCCGTGGAATGGAGGCTGTCCTCAGCTAGAAGGGGCCTGCAGTTCCTAGAGGCCACCTCCAGGTCCTCATCCCATGGGCTTTCCTAACTGGTCACCTACTTCATTAAGCCAGCAAGCAGAGTCCCTAGAGTGAATCTGCTAGAAGACAGAATCACATATAATGTAATCACACAGGAGTGACATCAAATTTGCCCTGTTGGTAGAAGCAAGTCACAAGTTGCGAACACACTCAAGGGGAGGGGATTACACAAGGCTGTGAACACCAGAAGGGGAGGATCATGGGTTGGGCAACACCCTAGAGTCTGTCTACCACACTATGTCCCGTATATTCTTCTGTCTACTTAGGTTTATGGTTGAAATTTTCCATTTTAAAAAGGAGAAGAAATGAATTACAGATAGTCCCTGGCTTACTATGAACCACATTTACAACCGTCTGGGTTTTGTTTTGTGTTTTTTGTGTAAATCTTATCATTAGCAACATGTACTACATATAGTGTTGCAGCACGTAATTTGCTGATGTTATCCTCAGATGTTCATTCACAGATGTTCAAAGTTCAGATTTATAAAGATATTGATAATAAAAGTCAATAATAATGAAAACTAAAAACAAAAAAGAGGTATTCGATGTATATCAGAACCAACTTACCATAGAGTTGTCAGAATGGAACCCCGTTGTAAGTCGGGGACTACCTGTATTTCTTCTATTAAAAGTCTGCCATATGTACAGTTTTTTTTGTAGCAAATAAATGTCTAGATCAGCTGATATGATTGGTTGCAGTTGTCTTTCTCCAGTTTATATTTGGAGACTAGTGGGCGCATATTAATCAGGGTTCTCCAGAG